ATTTAAAAACAAGGTTTTTAGGAATACATACAAAAATTTTTGAAAAGAATTTAATATATGAATGGTCGAGCGGGCCCAGTAACGTCTCCATTGGAGACTTTGTTGTTACTGTGTCTGGCATATCGAATACTCTCGGTAGCTTGCCGGGCTCTCCGAGAGGGGCGGTGAAATAGCAAGTTAATGCTAACTTATCTTCTGCTTCTTTGCGGTCTTTTCTTCTTCCTGAATTTAGTTCTTATTTAAGTGTAGATGCTCTAAAGTTTCTCTCACCTTTTCCCGCCATCTTTATTCTGTCTTTGGGCCATCTCAAGCTTCTTTCAAACTGTGTCAGAAGTTTGATTGGTTTCTTCTGTTCCACCAATCAGCTTTGTGCTGCTGTTGTTGTCTAATGTTTTCTTATCTTATTGATGTTAATCAAGTTAGTCACCAAGTCTCATTGATTTCCTCTCTCACCTCTCCCTTTCTGTTTCAGCCGCCACTGCCTTGGTTCAAGGCATCATCCTGTCTCACTAGAATGATTATTATAAGTAAGCTTCTAATTGGCATTCGTTCCTTCTTGGATAACTCTCTCAAAGTCATTGTTTAAAAAAAAAAGAAAAATCTATATTGTTTCACTCTCCTGCTTAAAGCACAGCAGTTCCTTTTGACATTAAATGCATTCTCCTGTCCTTTGCCTTGACTCTTCACTGCCCAGTTGTTGTGATCCTCCTTCAGGCCTGTATTTAGCGTTGTGTGTGACTGAAACAACATGATTTTTCTTACCTTTCTATTGACTCTGGAATAGTCACCTGCCTTTCTCCTTAGTATATGCAAGCGATACTTGTAAATGATTTTTCCCCCTTTGTACTGACTTACTTTTTTACACGATTTAGTTACTTATTCACATTTGTTTACCCCATTAGATATGACAGAAGGCCAAGGATTGTATTAAATGATTGGATTAGACCATTCATTAGAGCACAGTAATGTTTCTGAATGAACAGAAGAATGCTTATAAATCAAATTAAGTTCTAAAACAAGAAAGGCATGCTAAATATCCCTTTTTATTTTCTTTTTTGTTGTTGTTGTTTTGGTTTGGTTTTTGCTTTTTGTTTTGAGGTTGGGAGGGTTGGTTTGGAGGCCACATCCAGAGGTACTTGCATATCTGTCCTGGGGGTGTTCAGGGATGAAGTGCCAAGGATCAAATCTAGGCCCCTGTATACAAAGCACATGTTCCAACCCGTTCATTTTCCTAGTATCAGAGCATGAAGGTCAGTTTTATTTTTCAGAATATAATCTGACCCTGGGGCTAGAGAGAGAGCACAGTGAGTAGGGCGTTTGCCTTGCACGTGGCCCAACCCAGGTTCGATTCCCAGCATCCCATATGGTCCCCCAATTCCTAACGGTTTTTTTTCCTTAATGTTTTTAAACAAAAAGAGTAAAGATAGTTTTCTCAAAATTCTTGTCAACAGGGTAATTCAAATAATTGAGGATTTTCTTTGTATTTTAATATGTGACTAATTGACAACTAAACTTTTTTTAATCACCAGAGTACAGTCAGGTAGATAGTACAGGAGATAAATGGTTTGAACACAGACAGACACTGCATATGGTCCTCAAAACACAAAGCCAGGAATAGCCTCAGGCACCACCAGGTATGGCCCCCAACATAAACTCAAAACCAAACAACTTTGTGAATAGGACTCAAAATTTTGGGGCTAGAGAGGTAGTACCTTGGGTAAGACCTTTGCCTTGCTCGGGGCGACCTGAATTCCATCTGCAGCATCTCATATGGTTTCCCAAGCACGCCAGGAGTAACTCCTGAGCATTGCTGGGTGTGGCCCTCAAAAAACTTAACAGATTGAGTATTGGGGGAGGTTGCTGCTTGTACATGGGTAAAGAGCCTATTATATCTCTTGTGTCTTATTGTGGATGATGGCTGGAGAGATAGCACAGCGGTAGGGTGTTTGCCTTGCACACGGCCGACCTGGCCGACCCGAGTTCGATTCCTCTACCCTTCTTGGAGAGCCCGGCAAGCTACCGAGAGTATCTATCTCTCCTGCACGGCAAAGCCTGGCAAGCTCCTCGTAGCGTATTTGATATGCCAAACACAATAACAAGTCTAATAATGGAGATGTTACTGGGCCCACTCAAGCAAATCGATGAACAATGGGAGGACAGTGCTACAGACGAATCATTGTGAAATCTTGAAGGAACTTTTCAATTACTGGCGAAGGATAATGTCCTCTTAATACAGTATTGATATCTGTTTGACATTTTGCTTTCATGAAATTGTATTTGCCTCATCCCAAGCATTTATCTGTCAGTAATTTTTGGTGTGTGGTTTAAAGGCGAGTTTGTTAGGGTTATTGCACTTAAACCTGCTGCCTGTCTTCTCTTAAAGTGAAAGAGATCTGACTCCTGTTTGTGAAAGGGAGGGATGGTCCACCCCAAAGATGTTTCAGTGCCTTTTGTACCCCTTAAATTATATAGTAACTTTGACATTTTCTTCCATGTGTGGAAGGCAACTGAAGTCAACATGTAATTCTTGCTTGGGAATTAATGATTCTGGCCTTTATTCTCTCTAGTCCTCATTTCTCTATCCCCTGCCCATCAACACTCAGATTCCTAATAGACTAGTCGGCTATTAGACTAATAGCTAACGGACTTTAGATTTTAAAAGAGGATCATTGGGACTGGAACAATAGCACAGCAGATAGGGCGTTTGCCTTGCACACAGCTGACCTAGGTTCGATTCCCAGCACCGCCAGGAATAATTCCTGAGTGCATGAACCAGGAGTAACTCCTGTGCATCGCCAGGTGTGACCCAAAAAGAAAAAAAAAAAGAGGATCATTAAAAGGTAAAAGAGATGAACTGGTGCGAAACTTTAGATTTGCACTTTAAATGTTCCGTCAACGGGGCTATGGAGCGTTAGTACAGTGGGCATTTGCCTTGCACACGCTCTATCCCTGGCATCCCATAGGGTTCCCCAAGTGCAGAGCTTGCAGTGCTCCCTGAGCACCTCCAGGTGTAACCCCAAATCAAATAAATTTTCAGTAAGTGTCTTTTCAGGTTTTTGTATTTTGGTGTTAGCCTCCCATTTAGCCAAGCCCCTAAACAGTGGGATTAGATTTGAGAGATGGAGAATTGAACCTACTATTGTTTCTGTTATTGTTGTTATGGAATAGGTAGTTTATAACCATAATTGTTTATATTCTTTTTTATTGTTTTTTTTTTCTTAGTTTTGTGGCCATACCTGGCAGAGCTCAGGGCTTACTCTGGGCTCTATCCATAAGGATCACTCCTAGCAGGGCTCAAGGAACCATAGGGAGTGCTGGGATCGGACCAGGGTTGGCCATGTGCAAGGCAGGCACCCTCCCCACTGTACTATCACTCTGGCCCTATATTCTTATTTTTTATTTTCCCTGTTGGCACCATTCTCTGAACAGTCACAACTTTTGTATATGGTGAAGTTGGCAAACTGCCTACTTTTGGATATTTCTCCTCTCCTGGAGAGTGATAAGTGAAGCTGTGTTTGTTCCTCCTAGTACTATAGTCTCAAATCCCATAAAGCCTCCTAGGTCATGAGATGACTATCTCAGAGCTGCTTATTATGCACTGTGGCTTAATGTAGATTATAGATGTGACCAAACAGTAATTAGTGGAGCTGGAGCTGTAATTAAACATTACTGTGCTGCTCTGTGATTTCTCTTTAGACATTTAAGGAAACGGACTAGTTCCAAACCCTAAGGTGCATTTCATCACTTCTCCCAACCCTCAAGCATCTCTTTTAATTAGTCAGATAATTTAAATAAAGCAATTCTCACATGAACAGAGATTCCTTAGCTCTGATCCCTGAGAATTGTTCACCGTACAGACTCATTCATCTGCTCCTCCTATGTAGCAGTGTGTTCTTCTTAGTGGTCAGTCTACTAATTAAGTTTTCTTCAGCGAACCACTTTAAGTGCAACTGTGTGGTTTATATTTGATGTCTTAGATGTTGTTTCTGGATCTGTCAATGCAGAAAGTTGAGGCCAGTGTCTGTGTAAGATAAAGGACTTTCCAGAAATTCCTCTTGCTAATGGAAGAAAGGCATAAAAAAGTGAAGAAACGAGGCAGAGGAAGTGTGCATGCTGACTAAAATAGCTTCTGTCTCAGTTCTTTCCCAAGAGAGAAAAACAGAGGTAATGCCAAGACTAAAGATAGGTAGTCAACATACACTGATTTTCTCTTTCATTGCCACTCCCAAACTGAGTGTTTTTTTTTATGAGAAAGTGATTTTATTGCTACATTTTAATATAAGGCAGAACAGATCTGTTTGTCACTTTTTTTTAAAAAAAATTAAATTGAATCGCTATGAGATACATAGTTACAAAGTTGATCATGATTGGGTTTTGGTCAAGCATTATTCTAATACCCAACCTTTTTTACACAGGATACCTTAATAACTATCCTTCCTTCCTTCTCTTCCTCTGCCCTTCCCTCCTCCCCTTCCCTTTCCTTCTCTCACCTCCCCCAATGTAGAGTTAGAAGGTAAGTAAGTAATCTCTTAAGTCTGAATCTCTACATTTCTTAGGTTGACTGATTATTGACTGTAAATCTATACTATCTAAATCTGTACTATCCAACATGTACAAGACTCTGGGTTTGGTTCCTGGCACAAAAACAAGCCAGCAACAAATTGTATATGTAAGGAACAGGAAGTACACCACTAGGAGTGATCCCTGAGCACAGCCAGGAGTATCCCTGAGCATCACTGGTTGTGACCCAGAAGGAAGGAGAGAGGGAGGGAGGGTAGGTTAGTTCTTTTACAGAGTGTGCTCATCTAAAGCCTGTGACTGTGATGAACTGGACTTGAAAGGAAGGACCTTAATCTTTTCCTTAGCATGCAAGTTTGTACTCTAGCACTTTTCGCTCTGTCCCGCAGCTGAAAGGACTATTTGACTAGATTAAGTATAGAGAAGGTGTTTTCCCTAAGATGTTCTCCCTGACTTAGCTGCTACTTCCTTTTTCTCCACAGATGGAATCCCCTGTCTCCACACCAGCGGTGCTGCCTCTACACCTTTTGGTGCCAGTGGTCAATAGTGACATCTCCTCCCCTTGTGAGCAGATCATGGTTCGGACCCGATCTGTTGGGGTCAACACATGTGATGTGGCTTTAGCCACAGAGCCAGAGTGCCTGGGCCCCTGTGAACCTGGGACAAGCGTCAACCTTGAGGGTATCGTGTGGCAGGAAACAGAAGATGGTAAGTGTTTTGTGAGGCCTCTCCAGCCCCTTTGGCCCTATGCAGGGGAGCCAACAGAGGCCTTGTGCTAGAAATAAGACTAGGATTTTTAAGAGTCTCGAATCATCTACTTATGGTCCCTATGTGAGGATTACTGCAGACTCAGCTTCCTGAGATTTCCAGTGCCAGTTTGTTCAGATAATCATTTCAGGGCTAGAGCAGCAGTACAGGAGGTAAGGAATTTGTATTACGTGTGGCCGACCCAGTTCAATCCCCAGGACCACATTGTCCCCTAAAAACTGCCAGGCGTCACTTCTGAGCACCAAATCAGGAATAACCTCTAAGTATGGCCCTAAATAAATAAACTGATAAATAATATTTCCTCTTCATAGCTGTTAGTAGCATTGACCTAGTACTTAAGCAGCTATTTGATGGGTGCTAACTATGTTATTCAAACTGTGTCTGTACTGAATGAACTTCTGGGTTAAAGTGGAGATGAAAGTAGTAGAAGGACTGCTGTGGGAGTCAAGGCAATGGAGAACAGTCTCTCCTAAATATATCTTGTGTTAGCACCAGACATGTATAGCACTTGTTTTTTCTAATACCTGGAAACGCAGCCAGGAGTTGCCCACTGTTAGTTTCATTGCCTGGCCACCCACACCATGCTTTCGGCAAGCAGTAAGTACAGTACAGGTTTGGGGGGCCTGGAGCTTTGGATCACACTCAGTGGTGGTCAGGGGCAGTTCCTGGCTCTGTAATCAGGAGTGACCCCTGTCAGTGATCATGGGAACCAGATGTGATGCTATCAATTTGTACCAGGTCTTTCATGTGCAAGGCGGGCACCTTACCTCTTGCACTATCTCTCAGGCCGACTAAGTACAGATTTTATAGGCCTTGGCAATGGGGAAGTGTTTCTATGGTCTTGTTTTGAAGCTCCCACTGAGCAGTTGTCTCACTCTAGGTGCTGCTGTCCAGTACTACCCTGGAGTTATATCATATATTCCATTTGCTCACAAGAACAGTCTCTGTTCTGTTTCTGAAGTTTCTAAAACTGAAAAAAAGCAGAAATGCAAAAGGACTCTAAGACAGTGTTTGAGATCCCAAGATCTCTTGATTCCATCTGTGGCAATATGGTGTTAGTACATTTGTTCTCTTTATAAAAAAAAAAAAAAGTCAGGGTCACAAAGGTCTGAAACACTTGCTTTGTATCCAGCAGACAAAGTTGGGTCCCAGAAACCACATGATCCTCCAATTATAGCTGGAATCTGACACAGCACCACACCACGAGGTGTGACCCAAACACTATCCCACCCTCCCCTCCTGCTCCCAACTCAAGTCATAGGCTGGGAAGATGGCTCAAAGTGGGGCATGTATTTTGTGTGAGAGAGGCTTGTTACCACATGGTCCACTTGAGCACTGAACCACGCACAGTCCCTGAGCACTTGCCAGAAGTAGCTGAAGAAACAAAGTGTTTAGTCCTTATGGTGTGGTTAGAGAAGCTGGCCCTAGGGTCCCTCTGCATTAGTAACCAGATTTTTAAAACAACCCCCTCTTGGAGAATTGAGAGACCCGAAGGAGCATGGCTAATTAAGTTTTTACAAGCTTGTCATCTTTGAAAAGTCAGGTGTTTCATTATGATCATTCAAAAAAAGTTCCTCTCTTTTTTTTTTTGCTTTTTGGGTCACACCTGGCAATGCTCAGGGGTTACTCCTGGTTTTGCACTCAGGAATTACTCCTGGCAGTGCTCAGGGGACCATATGGGATGCTGGGAATTGAACTCAGGTTGGCCGCGTGCAAGGCAAACGCCCTACCCGCTGTGCTATTGCTCCAGCCCCAGTTCCTCTCATTTTTGTTGTGACTCAGGGTTTCTTTATTTAAACTGTACAGTCCATTAGACACTGATATATTTAACCTGTTGTATTCTTCACTCTCAGGTGTGTATAACTCTCAATGTGTATAACTTCAATTACAATGTGTATAACTTCAATAACTTCAATATATACTCTCAATGTGTATAACTTCAATTTCAGAATAACATTGCTAATGAGATTTTATTGTGTGATTTCAGACTATAGTATCAAAACAAAAATTAAAACTATTGTGTTAGAAAGAGGAAAGAGGAGAAGGTAACTGGCATAATGTGTGGCATACTACCCAGCTGTGTAGATAGAACATACAATCTGGAAATCAAAAGTACTGTTTCTGATTTTAAAATGGCATCTGCTGAATAGCCAGAGTCAGTAGGAAGGACAAATATCTAGACCACAGTTCTATGTCACTCACTAACCCTCTGGCTTTCTGACACAGTATATTGCAGGTAGACAAAGATATCAACCTCTTGCCTATTCATTGTACCCAACTTTATATGGCCACTTTTCTCTGACGGCGAGCGATAGCACAGCGGTAGGGCGTTTACCTTGTGTGCAGCCAGCCCAGCCAAGCCGGGTTTGATTCCTCCGCAAGCTACCGAGAGTATTTAATATGCCAAACACAGTAACAAGAAGTCTCACGATGGAGACGTTACTGAGCCCACTCAAGCAAATTGATGAACAACAGGAGGACAGTGTTTGTTTTGTTTATTTTCTCTGTTTGACAACAGTGATCAAACCCAGGGCCTCACAGGTAAAGGCAAGTGTACCACTGAGCTAAATCTCCACGCCAAGATGCTTTCAGTGTATATGAACCTGTTCAAAATTTTGCAAGAGCAATAGAACCACTGGTAAGGTGTTTGCCTTGCGGGTGGCTGATCCAGGTATGATCCTCAGCATCCCATATAGTCCCTCAAGTACCGCCAGGAGTAATTCCTGAGTGCAGAGCCAGGAGTAACCCCTGATCAAGGCCCAAGTGTGACCCAAAAAAAACTTTGCAAGAGAGTGGTGAGCTAACCCTTTCATTCTCTTGAGAACAGTGAGTGTGGTGCCAGAGAGTCTAGGCAGTAAGGCATTTGCTTGCCTTGCATGTGGCTGACTGCTAGATCACTTACATCACATAAGGTTCTTGAGCACCGTTGGGTGTGGCACAAAAACAGTGGATACTTTTTTAGTCCAGGATTTGTAATTCCTTCCCTGCCAAGAAGCTGTGCGCCTAGATTTGGGACAAGGTACATGATTTGCTCTCAAAGACTTAAGTGGGCTGGCAGCCTACTGCCAGTTCCCTGTTAGATACTTTTCACCTTTTCACAGACTGGATTATCACAACTCACTGTTATGTTTATAATTATACCTTTCTATAGTGTTTATCACTTTCTCTGTTTTAGAAGTTCTCTGGGTTCAGGGACTCTTCTCACCATTGTATCTTAACTCTTTATCTCTGGTTACCTATATATAATAGACTCTGAAAAATACTTACTTGACTAAATCAATGCTTGCATATATGTTTTGTCATTTCTTGATGTATACTAATGTGTAAGTGTGTATCTGCCACACCCAGTGTTGCTCAAGGTGTACTCCTGGCTCTGTCTCAGATCACTCAGAACTGTGTGGGGAGCTGGGGATTGAACCTGGGTTAGCCAAGTGTAAGGCAGGTGCCCTGCCAGCTGTACTGTTGTCCAGCCCCCTCAGTAAGCAATTTTGCCTCAGAAGAAGAATATGGTCTACCTTAATAAGCTTCTGTGTAATAATAAATTTTCATAAATAAACAGCCCATACATCTGAGGGTTTATTTCAGGGCTCAGTTCCAAACCTTTGTTTCGTTTTTATAGTTTATGGTCAGGGAATGCAAAGCCTCTCAAGCATCATTTTTCTTAGAATCACTTTATCTATTTATGGAGTTTTATTGGTCCGTACAAGTTTCAGTAACACTTGATTTAGATTCTGTGTCCCTGAAGAATATCACTGGACTCTGATACAGGATTGCATTGAATCTGTATAATGCTTTTAACATTGCTAATTCTTTCCATCCATGAACATGGAGTATTTTCCCATTTCCTTGTGTCTTCTATTTCAATTGTGACTTAGAGTTTTCTGTGCATGCTCCCTACTCACTGTGCTATTTTCTCCAACCACCACCACCAACATACTTCATGTTTAAGTGATACTTAAGCAGTCTGTATAACTGTGCTCAAAACTGGGGATTAAAAAAAAACTGGGGATATACCTAAACTAAACTTTGAGGTGTTATTCCTAGAAATCAGGGTCCTGTTTGAAATCCCTTCACTTAACTTGACCTTTGTTTTCTCATTGGTAATTTAGAAGGTTGGGTACCCATACTCGCATACCTGCCCTGCTTGGTAAAGCTGCTGTAACATGATGGGCAGATGCTGTTAACAAACTTGGCAAGTAGCCTTTTTCCTATGCCGGTAGATCTAGACCAGTTCCTGCAGAGGTCTGCTCCTGCCTTGCTGCTGCCGCCTTTGAAAGAGACCAGCGAGAGCCTAAGACTCCTCTCTCTCTCTTTCTCTCTCTATTCTCTCTCCCTCTCTCCCTCTCCCCTCCTCCCCTTCTCACTTCTCACTCCTCTCTTTCTCTCTCTCTTTCTCTCTCCCTCTATTTTAATACCAGTATAAATAATCCCTCTGCTCTGCAGCCTCTCTCCAGCTTCTTATCTCCACTCATTTTCTCTCTTAGCTACTTATTTAAAGGAGTGTCTCCACCTCATCCAAGATCCTGCATTATCCCATCACTCCTGAGCTTTACAGAACAAAGAAATCCTGGGGCATCAGCTTTATCACTTAGCAGCTGGAGATCACTTCCCCCAGGATAGGGTGGGAAGGTGCCCTATCCCCCTGGCATAAGACAGCTTTGTTATGTGGCCTCTGTTTTGTCTGCCAGGCTTAGGCTTTGTCTGTATTGGTGTTAAATTAAGTGGTAAACTAGACCCGTGTACTTGTAGAGGAGTAGGGGTTAAGGGGGGAGGGAGGGAGTTGTCATTTGTAGCCTGTGCTTTTTGCACATGGAATTTTGGTTTAATCCACTGTCCTTATATTTACTCCTGCCGGATCCTTTATTTCCCATGGTTGCTGCATTCATGGTCTTCTCCATAGCAACAAGCTCTGGCAAAAAGGCCCTGGTGAGAAATGGAGT